TATGCTGGCTCACTGGGATGACTCAAGTCCTTCCTAGACATCTGGGTCCACCCAGGCCTCCTAGCTGACCTACACAAGGCAGCGTCCTCCTACAGCCTAGGAGGCAAACACTTGGGTCTGAGGCAGGTCCTGGCAGACAAGTACCCACAAGCTGAAACAAATGGACAGGCTTCAAACTAGTGCTTAAAAGAGAAAGGTGCTAATACAAAAAGAAAAAAACCTTTTCCTCTACACCTCTTTGAAAATTCCAGGGCAGCTGCTTTCAGGCCAAGTGTTTGTGCCTACAAGGGGGCCAGCCACCTGGGGGATTTGCAGAACGACCATCTGCTCCCAGCCATGAGAGACGGCCAGAGGGTTTTCTGGAAAATAAAGGGAGGGAAAGCCCGAGCACCACCTGTGCATCCTGGGAGCCTCCCTGCACCAGAACCAGGAGATCCCTCTGCCACCCTCCATCCCTCATGAGAGCAAACAGATGGCAGGATTTGGGAGAAGGCGGGCAGAGGGATTAAGAGACACAACAACAATAAAAAGGAGGATCAAGGTACAGAGAGAATACGGACGATGGGGGTAGTAAAGATGTCAGGGACAACGGGAATGAGAGAGCCCAAGCCTGTGAAATCTTGATTTTGTGCTACTTCTTTTGCACTTTTCTACTTCAATGTTCCTCCAGCAGAGGAGAGGGAACAACAGCACGTGGTGGTGGTGGATGGATGTGCGGAGAAGTTGGGAAGGGGTGAAACACACAAGCGCCATTTTTCACGACTGTAGTAACGTCCTCAGTGAGAAAAGCCCAAATGTCACATTTACACTATTGAGGCAGTGTTTTGTTATTAACTTTATATTTTACAAAGCTTTGTGCCCCTGGAGGATTATGAAACAAACGGAGGAAGGAAATCAGACATGAAAAAATACCTCAGTGAGAGCAGACATCTTTTATGATTTTAATGAAAAACAGTCTCTCTAGACACTTGTTATCAGGGACGTTGGGCTGTCTCATTGACAAACTTACTGTATAATTTGAAAAGGAGATCTAAATAGCAAAGTTTTTTGAAGAGGCAGAAATAAGCCTACTTCAGGCAAATAAAATCTCATTTCTATTCTTGGTCTGAAAAAAGTTAAAATCCTCCCTCCTTCAATTAATCACAACTGTTTCAAAGGATTAATTGCCATCGGTTTCCAAGTACACTCACTAGCTGTATTGAAGTAAGCGTGTCTAGAAACTAAGAAATAAATGCCTCTAAAAAGAGGTTCAGAATGAGTACTGTATACCGATACTCCTTGTGTGGGCACATGACTGAGTGGCTGTTTATACGGCATGCTAAACCCAGAGGTAATTATAAAAGGTGATTACAGTGATGTGTATAGATGATAAATAGGCTGAAGATTCTCATATTGAACACAGGGGTATTTGTGGTGCAGTAATGAATTGAACAAGCTGTTCAACAAGAAAAACACAGAGGAAAACAGAAACGGAGATGGAATTTAATGGTAGTAGCTGACCAC